AGAAATATTTTTTTGCTCGTATTCAAACAAATTATTACTTTGGATCAATGAAAATTTCTTTGAAATTAAAATGTTTTTTAAAGTAAAAAAAATATCTTAATTTCAAAGAAATCTTCATTGATCCAAAGTAATAATTTGTTTGAATATAAGCAAAGAAATATTTCTTTAAAATTAAGATATTTTTTTCTCAGTATATATATATATATAGGTATATGTAGAGGAAAGTCGCCGATACCGACGTATCACTTCGTTTTTAGACAATATTTCTTAAACAAAAGGTAAAAATAAAACTTTAAAAACGTAACTACAAACTGAAAAGTGTCTTCTACCAGATAGTATAAGCAGTTTTTATAATACTATTTGCAATTTTTCAATAATTAATTTTTTTCGTAAGGTAAGCAAAAATGAGCGTCTGACAAAATGGGCTCTACAACTGACACAGTAGGCAGTAATGTATTCATATTCTTTTTATTTTACAAGCATTATCTGTATAAAGTACCTACAAGTGAATATATATAAGATTTTTCAGAATCTTTTTACGTCATTATAAAACATTTTTATTGAATTATATGCATATTTATTTTATACTGTTCTGCAAGATACAAATATGTAATGCGATAGTTTTTCAAGAATTTTTCCATATATGCCTTCAACTTCAATAAACTTATTTGACACTATAAAGCAACATTACAAAGATTAAGTTAGCTCATGGTCTGTTTTACGGACAAGTGTAGCGGTTTATGCACCCCAATTTTAAATTTAAAATCGTATTATGAAAAGACTAAGAGAAAAAATAATATAAATAAAAATGATTTCGGAAATTACAAGCATTTAAAATGACGTAATATTATCAATAATATAATCACTATTATTTAAACCATTCAATTTGCAAAAAAAATCGTAAGAATTTTATTTTCGCATTCGTAGAATTCGTTTTTAGCTGATTTGGTATAGAAACCATAAACATACGAATTATGAGTTTGTACTTCTTTAATTAGCTAAACAGATCATGATTTTATTAGTATTAATAAAGTGCAATAATTAGTTTCTGAGAAATAAGAGGGTCACTTTAGGAGACCTATGTCAGTATCGGCGACTTTCCTCTATATAAAATTAATTTGATTCTAAAATAATTTTATTTCTTATTTATATAAATATTAATACGTTTGTTTTGTAAATATACATAACTTCCCTTTTTGTATTTTAGAACAATAAAAGTTTGACCAAAAAACAGATTTTTACAAAATTGTTATTGACTTCCGTTCGAAGATTTTCGGGAGATTTAATCGTCTAAGTATATTTTAAGAATATCTCAAATGTGGAAGGATTGAATTGCCAGAGCTCTTCTGGGAAAACATTGTGACAGGACAGCACAATTGGGTCAGAATGTACAATCAGGAAGGTAGCCAAGGCTAAGGTTTAAACGCAGCAAGCAGTATTTAACTGTACTCACGTACGATAGTTATGAAGGAACCGTCCCAGAAACGATGACGAAGCCAAACAAAAAAGTCACGTGCCACATTCTGTGACTACTACACTCATTATCCTATTTTTGTCTAATTTCAATACCTTATTATGGATATGCAATTTCTCTGGCCAAAATTTCATTGAATACCATTATATCCTCGCAAATTCTGAATCTCTAATATTAAATCTCATTGAGCAAGTCTCGTAATTAAACATTCATTGAATTTACTTGGAATTAATTTTGTTAGTATTTAAAGTCTAATTCAGCAACGTATAATAATAATTATTATTAGACATTAAAATTTAATCTTTCTCTTAATAAAACTTACTGAAATTTAACAACAGATTTGTAATAATAATAGTTATTATATGTTGCCGAATTAAGCTTTAAATGACAGCAGAATTGTATTATTCAGTTAATTCCAAGTAAACTCAATGAAAATTTAATTATGAGACTTACTTAACGAGATTTAATATTGGAGATTCAGAATTTGCGAGGATATAATGGTATCCAATTAAATTTTAGCCAGAGAAATTGCATATCCATAATACGGTGTTAAAATCTCAGAGAATGCTCTGTACAATAACATATCTTACTACTTTTATATTAGTAACTAACTTACTAATGCAAATTATATTTCTAGTATATGCAACAAAGTCAAAATTAAAAATAAAAGTTACACATTATCTTCTGCCTTTTCCAGGATTTGACAAATATTATAACACGGAAGAGATTATGAATAATTATGTCACGTTGCTGATATAAAATTGTACATATTTCTACACACACTTTGTGTCCCTTCAAATGCCCGTGTTAATTTTTTAAAGTGCAATTACGACTGTACAGTGTTCTTTAATCATCCAATGAATAATATTCAAAGAGAATATTCTCAACTGGAAAAATCATTCAAGTATACAGAAAAGGTTTACAGAAGTTATGATTAATCCTATAATGCTGCGAATATATTTCTTCATATGAAAAGAAATTCTTCAAATGGAAGATTTTAATAATACTAATTTGTAATAATTTATGCGGGCGTAATTCCAATATCAAATTATTAATATAATAAATTTTAAAGCATGAATTTCGTATCATTGTACGAAAAACAATTATACGAAGGACTAAGCGTTAACTTTGCAAATTATTTCTCGTTTCATTCTTAAATTAAAAAATGTTGGGAAATCGTCGAATTTTTCTTTATTTGAAAGTATTCATCTTGAAATCATTCAACTTATGTGGTAAATATAATTTATGTGATAAATATAATTTATTACACCTACACACACACACACACACACACACACACACACACATTGAGTGAGCGCGCGCAAATATTGCGCACTAAATAATTAGTAATAGCAAATCATAAGCATTTTGCTGCAATCGAACAGCTAATGAAATCTGTGCGATTTATAAAGAATTTGTAGCCCTATACGTAATATTAAGTATATATGCACAAACCGTGGAAACTTTTGATAAAAAGAGTAATCCAACTTCACTACTAGACATTTTCCTTAATAAATTCAACCATAATAAAATTTACGTCCATAATATCTTGATTCGTCTTCGCTTAAATGAATTCTTACTTAAGTAATCATAAGATAAAAAAGAAGAAGAAAAGGAAGTGCAAAGTTTCGTAGAACAAAAACTTAACTCATTAATACTAAGCGGCTGAATTAATCCCTGGGTAAACTAATTAATTCGCAAAGCTTTTATCCTAAAACGTTTGGTTCCAAAAGTTGCAGAATCAATAGTAAATATCACATATTCCGCAAGAAACATAAAATTAAAATTTGAAATTTCCAATTTTTATTTTAACTGCAAATTTAATAAGATATAATTTCATTTTTAACGATATACCAACTTTTTTTTACAATAATTTTATATTTATATAAACCACGATATTTCAGGAAAGAATTAAGTATCGATATCAATTGATCATTCCAATTTTTATATTTAATTTCATAATATATAAGAATACACTTTTTATACAATCTAAGATATTTTAAGAATCTTTCTTCAAAAACCCCGAGAAGAATAATTACGAATTTCTTTACCACGCAAAACGTATTTGCGTTTCAGACATTTGTTCAACTCGATCGTAGATTAGTGATAAAATAATACAGATCGGGGAACAAAATAACTTACCCTGTGAGGTGCCCGAAGGAGCCGATGCACAGCGGCAAGCTGATTGATTAGCGGCAAGGTCGCGCTGAAGGTGTGATCAGGAGGGTTAACATCCGGATAGAGGGTTGGATAACTGAACGGATCGACGTCATTGAGGTACTGCACTTGGCACGTAAAAAACATCTGGCGATACATTTCTTCCCGGCGCGGGGACGGCCAGGACTGTTCGCAATTTTTCGTCCCCCAAAAAAGATAAGGTTCACCCCCCTGCCCCCTTCACGTACACACTACGATCGTGTGCGCACGCCGTGGCGCACTCACGCGATGCGCGAACCGGTTTGTCGTATTGCCGATTTATTTCGATTCGATCTGTCGGCTGAAACAAGAAAACGTTCCTTTACTTTCTGTCTCCTGTTCACTGCCGATTACGCTTGCTTTTAGTTCTTGCTAAGACTTCAAAATGCATCGTTCTATGAATGACAGTCGTTCGAAAAATAATAAAATTACTATCTTCAAAATTTCTTTCTTTTCATTTGAGATATGTATTACTTAATATTAGAAATTATAAACTTTCTCTGTAGTAACAGTAATTAAATAAATTATGCATGTTGAAAATCAAATTGTTGTAAAGAAAAATTGTTCATATATACATGTATATATATATAAAAATAAATACTGACGTAATAAACAAAAAATACTTATAAAGTATAAGAAAAATTTGATATCCAAAATTTTTTTTAATTCAGATAAAATATCTCAATACTACAGAAATATTTCATCGTTGTTCTACTTTCTTTAAACAGTATTAGATCATATGATGATCACGACAAACGATCGGATAGCTCTCTCTACGGATACATGGATATGTCTATCTGCTTCTATTCTTACGCTTTCATTTTCTGCGCAATCTACCAATCGCAGAAAGATTTTCAAGCACGTAGGAACCGCGACAGAAAGCGCGCATAAAGTACCCGTGAAAGTAGCAGCGTTAGGATTATAACGATCTAGGACTGCAGTCATCATCGTTAATGCAACTGGTGTCCACGTCGTTTTCAAACGGTCGTTGACCTTCGAGTTTCCTTTCACTCGCTTATCGATTTGTTAACTCAAAGCAGAAAACCAATAGGTATGCTCTCATGCCTCCATTCAAGGCTTCACGTATTTAAGAAAATAAATTTATTACGTTATTTACGTATCCTCTTCTCGCACTTATATGAAATGTATATGTTAGAGATGCATCGGATCGTAAAATTACCGAATACCGAATATCGGATATCCGGATAGAATGCAACATCGGATATCCGAGAAGGCAATTTCTTCGAGTCGGATATCCGATATTTTCCGGATATCCGACCGGATTTCGGAAAACTGTCATCTAAAAAAGAAAGAATTGTAATTTTGCAACAATATATACGATATTAATATGGCATTATGAATATGCATACTCATTTCTAAAACATTTATATAATAATAAATCAGCAATTTAATGATATAAAATTTCAATTATCGGATATTAATATTATTCCGGATATTTCCGGATACTAATGATATCCGGCTATCCGATCGGATAGTAAAAAAGTGCCAGATAATACCGGATACTTTTCGAACATCCGGTGCATCCCTAGTATATGTATTCAACTAAACCAATCATATCCAAGACACAAAATACTTATAGTTTTAATTTACAAAAGCAATGCAATTATATAATGTTTAAATTAATTTCTGTTTAATTTCCTAATTTTTATTCAATTTAAGTTTTTATATTTTAAATAATATAAAACAGGTTCTGTTAATTATTTACTACATCAATTTAAAAATTAAAAATACGTTTTTCATATAATATGAAATAACTTTCAATTGTCATTGTAGGTATAATATTTTCGCGAAACACAATAACAGTGGAGATTGCTTTACCTAACGAACGATTATCGAAGTATCGATATCACTCGAACATCTGCTGGTAGGTTTACATAAAGTTCGATGTAGCGGAATGTTGTAGCTACTCGATGTAGTAATAGCTTGCTTGTAGTTAACGAAACTTCAAAAATCTAAATCCCTTAGCTACGATATCTCCGTTGCAACGTGTCACGATTATACCGGGTGCGCGAGAAGAAATAGTTACTTATGAAAAAGCGTCATACCGGTTTTCGCATGCCATCACGTTATTATATACTTACTAGCAGGAAAATATTGTATTGTAAGACAATTTTTTTTAATGAAATAAACTAATATAACGAAAATATTTCTTCCTGTTGTCGACTATTATGAGTTTCGATTAAACAAATTTTATCACTATTTTTATTTATAAACCTACATCAATAAATTCGAAAATAATATAGAGATATTATTCAATATATGTCTTAATATTTTTTAATTAAGTAAAGGATTTAATAAAAAGAAATACATACATATGAAGAAAAATATTTAGGACTAAATCCTTTCTAATCGAGCATTAGTAAAAATTTAAAAAATTATGTAGTCGGGACCTATGCGACATGATCTATCACGCATCATAGATTTCCTTACGACATCACAGACTTGTAAGAAAATTGGCGCCAAACGCGCAAAATGAATTGGCGAACTGTCATTATCACTGTGTGCCGACCCGTCTCGTCATTTTTGCTCTCGCATTGTTCTTTGTTGCAAATGGGCCAGCCTTCTTCGAACCGGCTTAAAGAAAGAAGCTGAAAGAGTACAGATAAAGGTAGTGGGCGAAAGAGAGAGAGAGAGAGAGGGAGGGAGGGAGAGAGAGAGAGAAATTGAAGAGAAGACAAAGAGGAACAGAGAGATGAACGAAAGAAGAAAAACGAAATGGAGGAGAGGAAGAAAGAGAGTGAAGGAATATGTCGAAGAGGGAGTTAGAAGGGAAAACGAGTCTGCGCCATGCCACGAATGTAATCGCAGTTGTGGTCGACGAAAGATTCATGATCAAGATGCGATCGCGACGCGCAAGATCGAACTCGCAAGAATTCCCAAACTCGCCTGAATCAACAAATCCGCCCTTCGGAATGTCATGTCTTTTGGCGTTTTAAGTGTGTTTCTCAAGAATCGAGATATCACATTTTATCTGTACTTATAGTATTTTCAAGCACTCGATCACACACAAACGCAGATACGTTTTAATACCGTAAATATTTAAACCTTGTGTCTTACTATATTTTAGAATATCGTATTTTTGGAATATTTGCTTTTATAACGAAATCTTCGAAAATCATACTTCAACGTCTGAATAACATTTTGGTGCATTTTTTAGATTTATATTCATTAAACACCTCATTTCAAAATATCTTAATAATGTAATTCTTTTTTTAACTTCATAATTTTTTATCACGTTAGATCCAAATATTGAAATATCATGGAATTATTGATCAAAATTGCAAATCGCTAAAAGATGATAAATGACTTTTCAAGCGAATCTACAACATGTCTGTTTTTAAATTATTTATATCACCGATGATCATGTAAAAATTTCGTATAAGACAGATCGAAAGATGAACGACTAAAAAAAAGTATGACAGAGCAGTGAACGTGAACCGGATTCATTTGAAAGCGCTAACTGACATCCGAAATAAATAATGTCCTTCAGGAGCGGCTGAGCCAGAACCAATCGAGGTGAGTGACATTCGAGAAAATTACTGATCCAAGTTCCATCAACTATGCGATATTTACGCTAAAACGTTTCGGTTAGATTAAATCGCGTCTATTGATACATCAAATGCAATAAAGTTTCAATATGCAATACAATTAAAAGTAGTTCAATATCATTGAGAATTAAAAATCAAAACATAAAAATTTCATAATCGTTATTTATAACTTTTCATTTTGATTGTAAATACACAGATAACGATAAAACGAAAACATGAAATTTAAGATGCTCCAAAATCTTTATTGCTTAAAGATCGAAGTATCATTCTCAAAGATTTCAGTTGCTAATTTTAATTAATTTATGTAACAATTGATACTATGATTACAAACACGTCATCAACAAACATTTATATTTCTTTGTTTTACTTCAGAACTTTCTAAAATCTTTCTGCTACTAATATAAGTCAGTTATATACAAATATTTCTATCAAACTAGTTACCGGCACGTGTTATGATAATATTACAAAAAAATATTTGTAAGCACGTGCTTCGAAATATGAAGTACGCACACACACTTCATAATGAAAACAAAAGATCTTTCATGTCAAATATGGAGTATTCTAAGTTAAGTAAATATATCTACCTTCTTCTTTTGTGCAAAATTATTTACTGTATTCTTCTTTCTAAACAATCCAATATTTACTCTTCACGTTTTGTTTAATTTTTTTATTAAAATTTTTATTAACAAACCCTTATCTCACGAATTACTGATAAGACATGTATTCAGACACCAGTTTTTCAATAAGTTCTAACAATATATATTAAAAAATATAAACATATCTAACTGCATATTTTATAAAAACCATCATCACATATATATACAATTAACTTCGGAAATTTATATTTTTTTTTGTAATATCTTGCAGTATTGTAATTTTTGTATCTCATAGTTCTTGTGTATCTTTCATAGTTTTTCAAAATCAAATAAGCGTTTGATTGCTCCACGATTCAATTCGAAATGCAAAATAACAAACCGAGTTCCTACGTGCTTTTTATTCTTACTCTAATATAATTACTGAATACAATGAAACGAAGCTATTGGAAAGTATTAGCGAATTCCGTTCAACTTTTGTCATAATCCGTAGAGAGGTCCTTCGAAGCGAGAACGAAAGGCTAGCCGGGTAGCGACAAGGGTCCCCATGCGCTGCGCGAGATGAAAGCGCGCGCGCTCGGGATCACGGAGTCTGCGCGAAGCGAAAGAACTCACCTTTCGGGTGACACGCGCACTTCCGCCGCCGACGCGAACAACGGAAACGCGTGCCGGAAACCGCGTGGTTGGAAAGCGCGGTACGAGAAGTAAGATTATGAACACACGCGCGATAGATGAAAAGAGGATATGTCGAAGCAGCGCGAATATATACGTACGTTAATACGCGACGCGCAACAACATGCCTTACCTCGAGAGCGGCCGTCGCGACACTGAACGTGCCGCAGACACCTGTCGCCGTCGACCGACAGTGCCGCCGCCGCGCGGTCGAACCCCTCTCTCGTTCACGTGGTGCGCACCCCGAACCGATGTGTTCAAATAAAACATAATCTTCACGAACTACAAATTTATAATTTTTCTGTAATTTATTGCACGCTTCAATGGAGTTAAAGATATATGTAGAATAAATAATTTTTTTAAAGTGTTATATTTGTTATACTCTGCGATCGTAGAAAACAACATTTAGTAATTATATTTGCTTTTATTATCTTGTCTCTTTCTTAAAATAAGATAAATGCATTTGAAATCTTTATTTTAATTTTTTATTAATACATGATGAAAGAATTTTATTACTTTAATTCTCTTAAAAGAATCATTCTTTACAGACGTATCTCTATCAAAATAAGTGCCAAACAATTTCCCGAAAATTAAAACTTTTTATTATGTAGCAAACTTTAAGAATTTTAAACAAGGGCTGCTATGGCGATGGGAGGCATCATTAATATTTCGATATAGGCAACAAAAATTCACTTGGCATCATTATATTATATGGAAATATCTATCAGTGTTAAGTTACAGGAAATTTATTATATTGTTTGTTTATGCCTGAAAATTAGAGGTAAGTTGATATTCTCTCTATCAGTTATTATTCTTTAACGTTATTAACTCTTTGTCTCGAGGTTTTAAATGTTTCAAGGAAGAACTCCTAACAATCAGACATTTTATTGTTAGTTAAAGAATAAATCTTTTCTTGTTTATAAAATAATATACAATATAGTTCTTTCATTTTATTGTGTAAACTGTACTTGTCAAATTTTTTGAAAACTCCATTACATGTCATTTAAGGACTAACAATAAGAATACGCTACGCTTTGGAGACTGTATAAGAGTATGTTACGTACTCTTGCCCGCTATATTTTTAATCTTGCTGTAATGAATATATATAATGAATTTATATCATTAAAGTAATGAAAAATATGGAAATGTGAGCGACTATACACGGCTACGTATCCCCATAGGGATCTCGAATGGCATGAAAGCAGATGTCGAGCCTACGTGATGGAGGGGGATTCATTGTGTGAGAGAATGCTATCGTTCCACTCACAATAGTAGTTCGCACATCATAAAAATAGAAGTGATTTCTACATAATTTTGAACGAAATGATCAATTACAAATGCTTCTATATCATATTAAAGGATACTCATTAATATGCAACGAAACCAATTGAAAATATTCACATACACAGTCCCGACTATCTTTAATAAATTCTGTATATATGTATGTATATGTGGGTAATGAATAAAATTAATCCCAATTAAATAGTGCAAAAGAAGTTTGCATCAAATTTTAATAAGCTAATAAATATATTAAATTTATAAATTGTCTCATAACTGTAAATTTATAAATATATAAATTGTCTCATAACTGTAAACATAAAATATATGTAAGATATAATTCGTTTGCTATAGATATATTTATCCAGTTATATATTGCAATAAAAAAATTGTGAATTAATTAAATTCAAATCTGATTATAATATACCTATGTATATACATATGTATAACAGAAGATATATTACAAAAATGATTTTTAATTATTCTTAACAAATGTAATAATTATTTATTTATTTATTACAAGAACTAATATTAGAATTAGAGACTCAGTAAAAATTGCGACAATATTATGTTGAGTAATTAATAATCGAAACAATGTGCGCAAGGTGATGTAAGTACTCAAGTAAGTAAGGTTCCTTTGTTGAAACTGCTTGATGTACTATATGAAAAATTGCAGTAGCAAGACACTCTTTGTGTAACCCTCGCGGGAAACAATAGTGTCGCGTGCATTTCCACTATTCTTGATCTTATCTATCCTCTTGTAGACTCTTGTTTAGGGACTTTCTCGATATAGTCCAGCTATCTCTATTGTTTGTGTATCGCTCACCAAAATGAAAGTATTGAAGTAATAAATACAAATGCATAATTTAAAAAGGAGCAGGGTTGGGTAAGTTAATGTTTTTTTTAATTGAATAAAGTTAAAGACTTTAAAGTTGACGGCTTTAAAATTAATAAAGTTAAGTTAAAAGTTGAAGGAATAAAAAATTAACTTAACGAAAGTTAAGTTGATATTGAATTAACTTAAGTTAAAAACAGTTAGTTTCAAAAAAAATTATTTTTGAGGTCAAAATGTCCTAATTTTTCTTAAAATGAGATTAAATAACAACTACAATATAGATTATTAAGTAAATTAAATTTTTAATTTTTTTATTTACATATGATATAACATAATTTTTTAGGTTTTTACTTTTTAATAAGTCTTAAGCCAGAAAAAATGGACCAATTACAGTCAAATATTCTCCTCGCATTCGACTGTAATTGATCAATTTCTTATGACTTAAAACTTAAAACCTACCTATTGTAGATCCGGACTAAGGCTTATGACATAATGCATAAGCCAATCAGAGGGCTGTATTAGCACATCTTAAGAAATTACTTAAGATGGTCTTAAAATATGAACGGATTACGAATATACGCGCCCTTAGTCTTATTACATTTTATTACTTTTCTAAGGTATTTAAAAGAGATTAAAAAAATGTTTGACTTAAAAAGAAGTTAAAAAGTTAATGTTTAAAAGTAACTTAGTTTAGTTAAAATTTAATGCATTTAAAATTAACTAAGTTAAGTTAAAAGTTATTAACTTTTTAACTTTTTTTTTAACTTTTAACGTTTTAACTAGTTACTACCCAATGAAAAGGAGACTCCAAAGAGTGTTCTCTTCTTTCTGCCAGCTTTAGTAAACATATTGCAGCTATCTTCAAGAGAATATTTATGATTTAAATGAAGATAATACACGTTACATATTTACTAATAATTCTTTTATTAAAAATTATAATTTTGTTGTACGTTTTCCTTGATGTTTAAAAAGAATTTCAATGTAAAGATTAAATAAAGATTTAAAAAAGTTGTGTGAGATATCGAAAAATAGCGTAAATTTGAAAAAAAAAATGTTAGATTCCGCGAAATATTACTTTTAAAAAATTTTATTATTTATGTTACAATATATTTAACATTATATACACACACACACACAGTATTCTAGTAATTTATTAATAACTATACTATTAAAAAAATTTTTGATAAACTTGTTCTTTAATTTAACACTTCATTTATTCTTTAATTTTTTAACTTTATTATTATATTTATTATTATATTTATTATTATATTTGTTGTTTCTTGCTTATACACAGATCATTAATAATAATAAATATCACATCTCGCTTTTTTTCACAAGCAAGAAAAAAATCTATTCACATCAGCATGCAATAAAAATATATAACAAAACTCACCGGAATGTAGCCATCGGGTTGAATTCTCTTATTATCTCTGAAAAGAAAAAAATTAAATCTATTAATCTATGCAATTAAATTACATGCATATAATACATATACAATATACTCTGAAAAAAATGCGCAATCTTTTATAAGCATGCAGATCAGATGTAAACGTAGGCTTCTATAAAAAAAACTTTTTTTCTCTATGACATCTCCGTTGAAATATCCGTTTATAAAAATTTTAAAAACATTTTTCTTAAATAACTTTCATACTGCTTTTTAGGTATTGATCATTTGTAATAATTTTTATATTAGATAAAAATCTTTAAAATAGTATAGAATTTTTAATACCACATCGGTGAAAAAACCAAAGGCGGATTACTTTTAAGCCTTCTAATCACTAAAACTTTAAAGCAAAAAGTATTGTTAATTTTCAAATATCTTTTAAATTTTTTCATATTTAAAAAGAGATATTAGTCTTTCATTTTGAATAATCTAATTATGCAAATTTATTTTATTGTCTACCTTCCACTGATTACCTAAATGTGTTTTTTTTTTTTTTTCAAAAAGGATTAGTTTTTCGAAACAAATGAAGAATATCTTTTTTGAAAATATGAAAAATTAAGAAAAATATTTAAAAATTAAGAAAAGCTTTCCCTTTTATGTAATTTTGATGCTTAATAGGATTGAACATGATCTGCCTCTAATTCTTCGACGTGGGATCAAAAAACTTCTGTCGCATTATTTTAAAGATTTTTATTCAATATAAAGATAATAATTACAAATTATCAACATTTAAAGAGTAATATAAAAGTTATTTAACAAAAACGCTTTTTAAATCATAACTTTAAAGAATATCTCGGCAATAATGCGTCGTAGGAAAAAGATTTATAGAAACTTACAAGATTATTTTTATCTGATTTATATCTCTATGAGAGATTGCCCATTTTTAGAGATATCGTGTATATGCAATTTATAAATAACTGTCAAACTAATGTTCAGCTATTATTATACATACCGATTTCTTCGTTGAATCGCTGGTGTTTTTAGTGTGCCGTCATGAATAATCACCTGGGTTGCATCAACTTCTTCACATTCCGAATTGTCTTCAGAAATGTCTGTAATAATGTATACATAATATTAAAATATTTTACCATACATCTCTGTACATCTAAAATGTTATATTATTTAATTTATCACATAATACTTAGAAATATTAAAAAGTTAAGAAATTTTATTGATATAACTTGAACTCTTTTTATGCATATAAAAATATAAGTCTAATTAAAGTGTTACAAACGTATTTTTTCCGAGATCTTTTCAAACTGCTTTGTCCATATTTTTCAAAAATTATTTTCCGGAGATATCCTGATTTTCAAATAATGCATCGATTTTCTTTTTTATCCACTAGTTTTAAAAGAGAAAATATTACATAACAAATTTAACCGGATCCATTTTGTCAAGCTCTATTCGATACATCGGATAATCCGACTGATACTGTATAAACTGGGTGCGATAGCATCGATCGCTAAGTGACGCTAAATTTATTCCCGCCTCACCCTCTTCGACACGTTCCTGTTTACGAACACGGGAGAGAACTGGGCTGTGGCACAGCATAGCAGTATCACCGAGCACGTCATCGATATCAGTATGGCCGCCAATAAATAAAGGCAATGTAGAGGGTCGTTTTCGCGGTGGCAATCTTCGAGGTGTCGATTGTACATTATCATAAGGAGATTTTCTTCCCCCATAGTTATCTGGCGGATCAGGCGGATTTTCGACCTGCAATAAAAGCAATGAACTCAAGAATTTCCTATTTATTAATAATAATATTTATCAAGAGTATTAATAATATTTATCAAGAGTATTAATAATATTTCTTTTATCTTTTCGTACTTAGTTATTTCATTTTTTATAAAGATGTAATGAATAAAATAGCGCTATAATATTAGTGCGATAACATTTGTTAATTATTTTTAATAGGCAATAATGAATAGAAAAACAATAAAAAAGAATGAAGGAATAAGTAGTATTATTGATTGAAATGCAAGATTCAATGGTTAATGCTATTTTCTTTACGCGATTAATTACCCATATAGTCATCAGCTATTTTATTTTCGGACATTAATAACTTTATTACTCAATTGTTCAAGTTATTTTGAGAAATTTAATACCTTCAATAATTGATTATAAGTAAATATAAACCAAAAGGATATTTATATTTTTCTTATCTTAATAATGTAGATTGTATGTCAACATACTTTATTGATAGCTTAAATAAGCTTCATAAACTTATCTCTCTTTCTTTTGGATTATTATAATCTTTTATAATCAGAGATTTATTAGATTGTACAAAATTATTATCAGAATGACGTATAAAGCTAGAAGATAATGAATGTTATGTAATACGACGATCAATCTTACCCCTTCTGGACTAGCACGATCTCCTAACGGCTCGGATGGTGGTGGTGGAAATTCGATGGGAAATCTAGAGAGGTTTCTCTTAACACATGTCTCAGGTTCAGGGTTAATGCCGATATCGATCTTCTCATATGACTCGGAAGAGTCGGAAGTGCTGTTGGGAATATCTACGGGAATCCTAACGACTCCGTCAGGAACGTTGGAGGAGCTGTCCATCCACCATGCCTTCTCCCCAGATTCGATATGTCGAATTTTCTTAAGCGGTTTTGAAGAGTAAAAGCTCTCGTTATCAATAGAATTGTCGGTACTTTGACTATCAGCAGGCGCCACTGGAATTACTTCAATGCCCTCCGGAACGTTTTCAGGATCGTCACTCATCCACCACGCTCGTTCACCGGACTGCTGATGCCTGATGCGATTTCGTCGATCAGCTGACCGAAAACTACCTCGACTGGATCCCCGTCTCGAAACAGAAGACGGAGAGGGTGATTTTTTTGTTTCCTCTGCTGCAACATCGTCCAACCACCAGGCATGTTCTTCTGATCCTTGTCGCCAAATTTTAAGTTTATATTTTCCTGGCAATACACAAAAAATAACATAATAAATATAAGCATTTAAAAACACTTTTACATTAAAAGTGCTAAACATTGTGAATAATCTATAAAAAAAATTAATTAATTAATTAAATGTTGGTAATCGAATCTTAAATCTGATGTTAATTAATTAATCATACTGTTATGCATTTAAATATACATAAATATTGCAATAACAGTAAATTTAAAAAAAAATGATAATAATTTATATATTTTTATAATAATAATAAAATAATAATTTGTATTTTTTTATCATACATATTATTTTACAAAATATGATTGGAAATATAAATTAAGCACATGGCCTTATATATTTAAATAGCTTGCTCTATGTATATATGTAGATGTAATTAACTTACCGTCATCCGGTAAAGCCGTGCTAACCGTTGTGTCTTGACTAATGTCATTATTCCATGGACTAGCTCTTTGAACTCCCTCGGGAACATTATCGGAATTTGGATCCAACCACCATGGCTTTTCGCCAGAAGACTGATGTTGAACCCTCATATTATTTCCTCTTACCCCGTCACTCTTTTGGGAATTAGTGAGGCTAGAATCCTTTGATAAATTCTGACTGATTGACTTCGAAGATGGCTGTCCTGATTTATTACTGGCTTCGTGATTTTCTTCAAAAGACTCAACCCAACCGTCTGATTTATTTGTATCATCGGAATCTTGATTCTTATTCTTAAAAAAATTCGTTACTGGCGCTAATGCTCTCATCAGAAAAGACTTGGCTTCTTCTGTCTTCACGGAACGATCACTTTTAGATCTTGAATTAGAGGGTGGTCTAGGTGGTTTCTCTGTCATCATTGACATATCATCAGCCGACGACGCCAACACGCTTGTTTTCGACGATCCCGCACTGATTTTACCTTTCACTTCGTGCGTAGGCGATTTTGTTCTTTTTCTTCTCCGTTTTGATCCCGTCTTATCAGTATGATCATTGTCATCCTCGCTGCTGGAGGAATTCACAGAGGTCGACTGACTACTAGTGCTGGAACTGAACGTCCCAGGTGGCCTCTTTTTTATTCCGCAAGGTGACTTTGAGCTACTTTTCGATTCTTCCCATTTAATTGAGCCATTCGAACTATTTCTGCCAAGCATTGGTTTTGATTCTGCAAACGGAGTCCTGAACCTCGATTGTCCGGACTTCATTGAGGTCAAGGATCCCGAAGATACTGTCTGGGGAATATGGTTCGAAGTCATTTCAGAATCCTGAGAGCTGACGGAAATGTTCCTCTGATTTTTATTTCTTCTCGCATATTTAGAGCATAAGTCACCGTTCTCCATGTTCAAGGTCGACTTGCGGAAATCCTTGTTCACGTACTTCGCTGCCACGTTGCACTTTGGCGTGGCGGCGGTCGTAGTATCATTCTTCGGCACAGGTGGTTTGCCGCGCGCGTCCGGCGAACCGCCTTGTCGTAGATTCACTGACGATGGGATCGAACCGGTGGATGATTTTCCGGGCGATGGCGGCGTTGTCGTTTTTATTTTTATACCCTGACTCGTCACCGAACTAGCTGACGATGATTTCGATCTGCCAATTGGCATGTTTACAGAAGATCCGTCTGACGAGCTGGTTCGCGTCATTTGACGCGGAATATTCTTCGTCGATATATTCCGAGTTTGTGATGTCGATGCTGAGCGACTTTGTGAAGAACCGCTTTTAATAAAAAATATTAAAATATTAATAAAATAAATAGTTACTTAATCCAGACCAATTTTAACCTTTTGCTGAAGTTGCGCATTTTTTCTCTGCTAGATTTGTAATCAATTTTTGCGTCTTTTTAAAAGTCATAGATAGGTCATTCATCGTAATTAGATCTTTTCTACTTTTTTACATTACATATAATAATAACTATGAGCTATTCAGTTCTTGTGTATAATTTAATATAAATTTATATATTATACAATTATTTTCAAAAATTTTTATATATCTTATGAAATATTTTTATGCCAGAAATTCTATTTGTTAAATGTTAACAAAAAGAAAAACCTATTGTTTGTCTTTTTGATGAATAATATAATGTAATTTATTCACATTATAATAAAAATACATGCAATTTAACAAATTACAATTAATTTTATTATATTCTTGACAATATATAATTAATATAAAAAATTTTTTTTATGTATGTCTAATAACAAACTTTATTAGGAGAGATACAGGTTTACGTACCTCGATGTCGAATCTTTTCTTTGTGAAGTATCACGCTTTTGAGAAGTAACTTCTTCATTTTGATCTTGATTATGCCCTTCGACAATTCGAAGAGATTCTTCTTTCGAAGAAGAGTTGGTATCAGATTTGGAAGTGGAACCTCTTCTTTCATTGTAAGCTTTGAGTTTCGATGATGTCATTTCAGTTTTCAAGGAACATTTAGATATTTTTGCTTCGTTCTTTGATGAAGTATGTTTCAATCGCAAAAGGGACGGTTTGTTTTTGTTATATTCATCACATTTTGATGCATCCTGCGAATCCTGCGTTATTGAATCTTCTCTGCGATAAAAAGCGAGATTCTGATTATTGGAACTTCTTAAATTATTGCAGCTTCCGTTTGTTTCAGTCTTTCGTGCACCACAGCAACACCGTTCCTTACCATGAATTCTATCTTCTTTATTTATGCTATGAATATTTTGACCATTGGACGATGTCTTCAAATCATTGGATGCTGATAAAGTCTCGTCATTAGTTGTGCAGTTTAAATCACTAAAATGTTTCTCATTTTGACTTTTATTATCAGAATTATGAATTTCTTGATTTGAACTCGATAATTCTTTGGTAAAGGATTCATTTTTCGGTGCTTCATTCATTCTCTTATATGCAAAGTTGTTAAGTCTACCACTAGAAGAGCTCGCATTAGTAAATCCTCTAGACGAATAAATAGATGAATTACCAGTTGATGATGCACCTGAATATTTATCCAGATACCAGGGTACACCAGATGCTCTGTTACTGCTACCATACCTCGAGAATCTTGACGGTTCTTCCATTTGATCACACTGTATTTCTTCGTCAGTAGTATCCGCCAGTTTTCGATGTTTAATCACTTCGTTTTGTTGAACGATGTTGATCTCTGCTCGTTTATTTCTGACATAGGACGAAGAAGCTGGAGGCGTCGGTGAAGTACCTCTTGTCACTACCGTTAACGTCACAAACTCGTTATTAGAAAGTTTATTGTTAGTCTCCTTCTCTTCTATTCGATTTGTAGTTTTTGACAATTCGTGACTATCTCTGTCAGACTTCATAGCTAACTTCGATTCTTCTTTTTCTTCTTCTTCTTTTCGATTAGTTGTTTTATTGTTCAAATTTCGAAATCTTCCCCCTGCGGAGTAGTTTACAGTTGTGGGCATTCGTTCGTTGCCACTTCGCGATGAAAGAAATCGTGAACCAGCTGTCGAGCCAAATCTCGTCGAGATTGTAGTTGAGCTCGATTCGGATGTATCTAAAAAATTTACTTCTTTTAACATTAGTTGTTTATTTATCTCAGATTTAAAATATAAGTTATAAGTTATATAGAATAATAATGTTTATGAATTTTCAAGAGTTATAAAATTTACAAAGTGTATTAATTATCACAAGCAAATTTCAATAAATATCCTTTTAAAGTTTATATGTTTAAACATAAAGTTCATTATTAAATATATGATTTTTTATATATTCTTCAATTCATAATATAATACATAATAAAAAAACTCACTAGGCGAAGCAGCTGAACGACTGTAAGACGGCGCTCGTGAATAGACTCTGAAAGAATTCGTTTTTCTGACACCGACTTCCGGACTGGGCTCGCGCGACGTTTTTCCGGAATTGGGGCGTAATCCTCTATAGGAAACCGGTGGATGATCCTTCTTTTCGGTTCTACCATCGTTACCGTAACTTCGGCCGAAACTCGATCCGGGATATGTGCTGGATCCGTACCTCGATATTCCTTCGGGTTCTCTGCTCTTTTCCCGCGAAGCCGGTCGGTTATATCTGTCTAACACGGAAGACGGCCTCTCCGATGTTTTGCCAGCTGAGAACGAGTACTTCTCAAGGAGAGACGACCTACTATCAGATAGCGGACTTTTCGCCCTCACGTCTTCGGACGACGATCTTCCGGAATGCAATCGACTTTTATCGATATTCTTAGTACCTATGATTTAAGAAAAACTTTGACTTGTGTACATCATTTCTCCTAAAGGAATAATATATGTATGTGTGCATTTTTATATAATTATTAAATATTGAAATTACTAATTATTTTTAGTTGTAGATATAAGTTTTATATAGTACTGCTAACACACACTTAGTAGCATTACGAAACCAAAATGTTGTGCAGTGCTAATATTGCAAACAGAATTAATTATTTATAATTTCTCAACAATTTAGTTATTGATTATTGTAAGTAAAATTAGAAAATAAATACTTACTACATAATATATATGTATATATTATATAATCTATAGATATATTATCTAAATAAAATAGTATACTTATAATACAAAGTCTTGAAAAAACAAAATTAAATATAAATTTTTAAATATAAATATTATAGCATATATTTTTTATCATATAAATAATAATATATAAATAATATAGATGACCAATACAAAATATTGTAAACAAATAAATATCTCACATGAATATTTGAATGCTGGTTTCTCCTCGAACTTATCTTTTTTAAGAAAAGTACCTCCAAAACCCGCAAGCGCCCGTTCCTTGGCAACGGTTCGAGTAGAACTCGATCCGACTCCGGAATAACTGCTCCTACAGCTTGGTAGGTTACTTCCACCGGAAGCATTTCTACCGAATGTGCTGGCGATGCTGACGCCAGGTCTACTTCTGTATGCTCCTGTATCACCCTGTAATCACAAACGAAAAGCATGTGCCGTACAATTTTTGACTACTTATCTTACTTTATAAGTGAGCTTTACATATATGTAGTTTAATCATCGAATGGTTATAAATAAATTTATATTGCTAGAATATTACCCTAAAAGTGTAAATCTATTATACAAAATTTCTAAAACCTTATTTAAATAAAATTCACATCTTTATTAATTATTATATAGCACTTTAGAAGATTAAGATTTTGATAAATTGTTTAAATTATACTTAATTTATATTTTGCAATATATTATTAATGATTGTAATGGCAAAATTTATCAATTTACTTCTTGCGTTTACAACAAGAAGGGATCAGACGTTAAGCTAATAAGACATTCGCAAGAAATAGGGCTGTGGGTGCTTCAGGATATTAAAGATAATGAGGATAATACGGATAATGCGTAGTTTGCATTACCAAGAAGACGCATCTGATGAATGTCTTCATCAAGAATTTTTTTGCTCAACGAACAAAAATAAATTTAATATCTTCATATTAATATAATCATCTTTAAAGCAAATATAAATATAAATATAAATACAACTAAATGTTATTTTGAATAACATTGCATTTATAAAATATCATAATTATCATCTGAATTTAATGCATCTGTTTAAAAATCAGAAATACAGTATAAAACACGATATAATATATAATGCGATATAATTTCTGTGACTACATCCTAAAATGATTAAGTTATTATTAATCCATTCTTTTACTAAGAATGTTTTGTTGATGGTGTTTATATATCTAAAAATATCTATAAATAGAAAAAACGCAAGAAAGAAAATTAGGGAGTCAAAGTAAATTCCCGTAAAATTTAAAACGGACTGTTGAATACGTCACAGTTGAAGAAATGCATGGAAACAAAAAATAATAATTTGTATAATTATGTAATACTTATAAATTTGGCAAAGTACCCTTAATCTCAAAATAGATGGCAGAGAGTAATAACCTTTGCATTTCTTGTTTGTATAACGGGTGGCATAAATAGAAGCCTATATTTCTTCAAAAATTGCGAATATATAGAACTTTGTGATTTTTTAATTATCTCTTCTATTACGTTCGTTATATTGTCATCACAAGCAGCGTGGAAAATAATTGTTTCGGTTTCAATTTCACTTTTAATTAAGTTGAAAATAGCAAAAACCCACAATAATGGACTTATAGAGAAACTTCCGACCTGTTTTCCGAACCGGGTCTTCTTAAAAGACCATTCATTATTATGCTAATGGCATTCGGTGAGATAATAGAATTACGACAGTCATTCCTTAAGACTGTCAAAGCAATTCCTTCGAGCGAAAGCACTATACAACATCGGAAACGATAAGTCCTTTCGTCACGTCGTATCCAACACCATTATCACATTTACGCTCATTTAAACTACAAGAAACAATGTGATTCGTTCCTTTTCATACAAAAAATTTTAATTGTTTATTATACAAAACAGAAAAATATTTTGTAAGGAAACTTTTAAATTACTTATCTTATAAAAATAAATTGTTTGAACTCTAAATCTGAATTAGAGGATAATCATTGACATCAGTCCCAATTATGCTATTGCTAATCGGTAAATTTACAGTGAAATTGAATTAAAATATTAATCTTTTAACCATGATGGAAAAAATAAGAATCTTTGTAGTGAGGCGGATAGTTGACACCAGAATTGCATGACTTACATGAGAGCGTAATAATTTATTTAATTCGTTGAGAATGACTTGAAGTAACTCGAAACGTGTACGAAAAATTGAAGATATAGTTATATTAAAATATATATTAAATTTATTATTATACTTGCGCACTAATTACCGCGTTATACTCCTACTTCCCTACATATATTTGTTCCTTAATTTGTTAAAAAGTCAATGTAAAACGTGGAATCCCTAACCTGGCCAACTTTGAATAAACTGTTTTTTAAAAATTATTTAATGTAAAAAGTGCAATAAGTGTATAATTTTATTATTTTTTTAGAAATGACATGTCTCAAGTAGATTTAACTTGTTCAATTAACAAAAAGCCTTTAAAGATACAAAATGCGTACACATTTACATACTTCAGTCGCTTTAAAGATCGACTATTTATGAAAGAAGTTTAGTTGGAATATGAAACGTGCATTAACGTCGACGCGCGTATATACAGGGACTTTTACGTTATTTGAACGATGAAAACAGTACTGTGTTGCAAAATCTGCATTCGACTATTGTGCAGAAATACACGTCACGAAATATCCGTCTACGCTCAAAAATTTCTGAGTTTACGTGAATACGAGTGCAAGAGAAATAGTCGTTCAGTATTTGAAAGCCCAACGCGATATCGCACCATCGCATGTGGACGAATAGGTACGTACGTATACGCACTATTGCATATTATACAGAATATACGAGAGTAGCAATGTCATATTTGCATTACATTACTCCATATGTACACTATTGATCGTTAAATGTTATTTTTCTCGTGTGTTGTACCTTCTTGTTTAGAAAGTCAAGTCGGAGTAAATTTTCACAAAGAATCAAAAAGAAAATATTTTAGCACTTTTATTTAAAATTAGAATTTAATATTATATTGTATTTGTTTAATAAAATAAAATAAATATAAATAAAATATAAAAAATAATAAAATAGAAGAAAGATACTTCTATTGTGTTAAAAAAATATTGAATACTTGTATGAAATAAACAGTTAAATCTGTACGTTTAGCAAACATGTAAAATAGAACTGAAAATATTAATTAAATTTTCATTTTTTTTAAAGTTGGATTCAATTAATTTTATATCACGTTTAATAAAAATTTTAAAAAACCGTCGCATATGTTTATTTGGAATATAATACTGAGTAAATTTATATGTCGTGTATTTCGTACAAAATGTAGATTACTATACAAATACAGCTGTTTATATAATAATAAGCTGCTTAAATTACACAAAAGGCCGGACTTTTAAAATATTATATAATTGAATCAAATGCAAATATAAATGCAATATGATTCAATTCTTGTAAGATTTTTAAAGCTGAATTCTAACGCTGCTTTGAACACGAATGGCGTCAAATATGTGAACATATGAGTTAAGAATGTGGTAGGTCTTTTCTTCTCATGACTTAGCATGTTATTACTTTAAGTATTTCACTTGTTTAAAAGAAGTATCCAAGCTGACGAAAGACGAAACGTTTTATTCGCGATGATGCAGTACATTTTTGATGACGCTGATGAGGATGTGGGCGACCGATGCATCGTAATATCAGTTTGAGGGGAGACCAGATAATTGAAGAGTGTCAGCCTGATTTAACCTCCGGCGACTCGGTGCATTATTATAATTTATGACGCACAACCAGCTGTCACAAACTCGATAGGACAAAAATGTTACTTAATTGTTTTCTTAAATTGTTAAGATCTTAAATAGTCATTGACCTTTTTGGACCACCCATTATAAATAAATTAAAAAATATTTTATGCTTTATATAAAAATAATTTTATATCTAATAAACAACTAAAAATGAAATCTTTCATATTGTTAAGATTTATCTTATATTTTTCATAAAATAAAAAAGTTTAACGAAATACTATTTTCAAATAATTGCGATAGCAATTTATATATTTACACATTCTGGCTTTAAATTAATTTTAATATTATTCTAACAAGCCAATATCAATATTAAACACTTGTTATTAAGTAGTTTATTTTGCAATTATTTTATAAATTATTTAATAGATAAAACTAACTCTCCATCACATAATATAACATGTAGTTTTCATTAGTTATCGTACGAGAAAGCAAATTAGGTTGCCGTTCACGACGCGCAGCGGTCTGTTATTTTACGATTCGCACATTGGGCACACGCCAAGATTTTTGGCGCGTCACGATGTGAATCGAGGAAGCGATTTCAGGGAGCTTCGCCACACGTGCAAACACGTGATGATAAAAGTAAATTCTACATGATACCAACTTTTTCGACAAAAGAATCATCGACTTTTTTTCTATTATTATTTAAATATTATTTAAATTAAAGCACTATATACGTAGTTTATAAATTCACACAGAATTATACAAGCACTTATAAAATCCAGTTAGACTGTTTAAAGCATTTGTTTTTATAGGTTGCGTTTCTCACATATACGTCTTATAAGATTTAATATTGATTATTTAAAATATTTAAATTATGTTATTCTATGACATTTGGTTTGGTATAAATGGATAAATTCACATCATCTACTTAAATAGAAGAATAAAGTAAATTTGCACAAAATTTGTATATTATTGTGTCAAAGTTATAAACTTTTACATAAATAAAAAATTAAATTATACTATGGAAATAAAAATTATGCTTATCGTACATAAATAATTAGCAAATTATTAAAACAACAGATTATGTATTAAATTACATGTGTTTTATTTAAGCCGTATTATTATTTGACATGAAAATAAGAAAATGAAGAAATAAAAGAACAAACACATTGTTTTATGCCATAATAAACTACAGAGGTACTATTACTGTATTGATTAATGTATTAATTTCAAATAAACTTAACACAAGAAAATACTTTAAGTTATGTTTCTATTTACTATTAATTATTATAGTAGTAAAATTTTTTTCTCGGATATAAGAAAATAGCTAAAAATAGCTATTCTGATTAAAAAATTTCTGTTAATGTTTATTAACAACCTCCTAAAATAATTTTTTTTAAGAAACAAAATAGAAATTTTAGAAATAATTTATTACATTGTGAATCAGAAATCTGACACTTTGCAGCCAAGTTATCTGTACAATAAGATATCTGATAATGCTTAAACGTCCTTGAAATTTTAGCAGTGCTTAGGAAAAATAAAGAAGAAGGTAGTATTAAGGCCAGTGTACATCTAATAAATTATAATAACCCCTCTTAATATCTCTGCTGTTAAATCAAATTCTAATGATTACTTATTTAATTATAAGTTCAATAACTCACCGTTGCTTAAACTTTAACGTATTATTACACAAATAT